CAGGTGGCTTTGCATCTTATGGGAGGTGTCCTCTTTCAGAATACACTGGGTTTTTCTAGAAGAAAAACATTTCAATATTGCAGTTCTTTTATATTGTATCATTCAGCTGTGTGGATCAAATTGTGCTGCTTTAATTATTTCCTACCGATCCTAGTAAATCTAGGCTCTTTGCTCTTGCTAACGGTACCTGAATGAAGCCTCTTGTGGAGCAGGTTTCTCATGTGTACAGGGACTGTGTGTTTTGAATTCTGCAGTATTGAGAGAGCTGATGATTTTAATCCTCTCACAATCTTGCCATCAGGTTCTTGAGAAACACTTCCACTCATCCAGTTAGATTTTTATTTCCAATAGGTTTGTTTGCGGACAAAGATAGAGCTGCTTTGCTACAGAATCCTGGATATAACCACGGAGGGAATCCTGCAGAGATGCCGCCAACCATGCGGTCCCAACCTGTGTGTTCACGGCATGGGTGCTTAATATTATCTTTTTGATAGGATAAGAAAAATGAAAGGGATGTTTTACAGCATTTTTGAAATATGGTACTTTAGAAGAAATTGTTCAAGTGAAAATACTTTAGCTATAACTAAATGGAACAGCTATTCTGTCACTGCAGCGTGGCCCAGCGTGTTTCCTGGACTCCAGCTCAGCTTCTTCATAGTGCCCAGAGTGACTGGCTTGTTGACTTGACAGCCACTTTTTAGAGTTAGCACATGTTGAGGTGCATGTTTACATTTCTTGTGGGGAGTTGGTCCAGGTGAATACACACATCCTAATTCTTTCTTCATCCTCTTCTCCTCCACCTTTGATCCCTTTCCCATTTGAGAGATCTATCTCCCTACTTCCCACCTTATCTTTCCTTTCACTCTTTATTTATACTTCAGTTCTTTTATATAATGGAAATTATGTGGTATTTTAGCTTGTGAGTCAGATTTATTTCTCTTAACATTAAGATCCCAGGGTGAGTCCATTTTCCTACAGATTACTCAGGTTTATCCTTCTTTATGACAGAATAGAACTCTATGGTGGGGTAGTACTCCTTATGTGTCTATACTTCATTTTCTTTTACCCATTCATCTGTTGATGAAATTGTGGGCTGCTTCCAAGATCTAATTCTTATAGCTGATATGTTTTTAATAATACCTGCAATAAAAGCAAGGAGAATTTTAGTAAGATAATGCTATCTGAATGTTGATTTCTGCATTTATGACTGAACCAGAAGGCTACATGAATTTTAGTTTTTTCCTTTTAATTTTTTATTACTAGTGCCTATTAATTTTATAGATTTTTGAGAGAGTGTCACATTATGCAGTTCAGGTACCATGTAGCCCAGGCTGGCCTCAAACTTACGGTGATTCTCTTATCTCAGCCTCCCAACTGCCGGGATTACAGGTGTGTGCCATCATGCTTGGCTTAATTTTGTAACATATTTGGTTTCAGTGTGTAACACATTCTTATCATATCCATCTCCTCATTACCTCCCACCTCCTCTTTCCTCCTCATTCCTTTCTTCTTGTCTAATAACAATCTCCCTTCTACTTTCCTGTCATTTTTTTTTTAATTAAATTGCACATACTGGGGGGGGGACATGTGATATTATTCTTTCTGAGTCTGGCTTATTTTACTCAAAATGATTATTTTTGACTCCATCCTTATTCTTGCAAATTACATACTTTTATTCTTCTTTATAATAGAATAATACTTGATTATGTATATATACCACATTTTCTGTATTATTCTATATTTTATTTTTTTATGATCCCAATAAAGCCATAACACTTTATAACAGTTTCTATGCATCATATATTCTTTTGATACAGCTACAAACTGTTGTACTCAAGGTTTAGCAGGAACCAGAGTAGTTTCCTGTAAAACATTCATTTGCTTTGGATTGCTTTTGAATGATTATTTTCTGTGAACTATTCTTACGCTATTTTCTTTTCTTTTCAACACAGGATTGTTGAAAATAAAAGAGAATAAATAATGCAGTTCCCAAGTGATTAAAAACAACAATTGCAATGCTGCAGGTAGACGTTATGGTAGTGGGAAGGGGCTATAGACACACATGCACACACAAACACACATGTACCTGCTTGTACAACTCTGGTGAACAGGGAAGAAATGTGTCTATTGGTGACTTGGCTGCTCACTTGAGTTCTCTATGACTTTGCTGTGTATGGGGAAGTCCTATTAAAACTGAAGGAAATATATTCCTGCAGTACCACAGGTTTTTGTAGTCACAGGTTCTATGAGAGCCCAGGAAGAACTTGAAACCATTAATTCTAGTAAGGAAAGGCTCACAAGGTTTGGATTTCCCTGGTATCATGAACCCAACCCTACTCAGTTCCCAAAGTTGATGTTGCCACCATGAAAGAACCCAGGGAGCAGAGTGCACCCAAAACAGGCACAGAAGACTTTCCTTACTCTACTTATTTTGAGGTTGTCTCTCTACTCAAGCTAGATTGTATAGTTCATTGAGAGCATCAGTTTCTGCTCATTTTGACATTAATTGTGTCATCTGAATCTAGCATATCTTCTGCTGTGAACTGAATGAAACCTCACAATTTCCCTAGCATCCCCAAGGAGTTTTCTCTGTATAGGATATCACAGACTTTAAAAGGGTCACATGGACCTATCATAGGGTTTACTTGACTGTGATTTTTTTTTTTTTTTGATGAAGCCTTCTAAGTAAAGTAGTTATAAAATATCACTTATAAAAATTCCTTTAAAACTCAAAGGTGCTCATTTTAAGTAGTGGAATAAAATCTTTACAGCTTTCTGGTCTGTGGGTTTAAGCACGCTGTGGGTCTTGTTTGTTTAAACGCTGGTAAAATATACTCTTTATAGATCTCAGGAGCAACAGCATAGTGTCAGTTCCTAATGGGAAGGAAAAGTTCGATTTTTCTATCCTACGAGGCTTCACGATCATGTGAAGAAGAGGATTCAGTGTGGAAAAGGCTGTACAGAAAGGAGTGATTATATAGCAAGACTGGGCTATTTCTTAAGGGCTGCTCCAGGGCTGGCCCTTGTATGGAGCTTTGTTGATGTCGGGGACTGGGTATTTGACCCACTCCCTGAGTGATAAGGATAGTTTGCTGCAAACAATGATTGATGCTAGATGTCTGTTTTCCTTCTTTGAGTTTAGAATTCTGCTTATTGCTAGGTAGAGCGGCCCACCTTACTCAACCACCAATGAAAACCTTCAGTGCGGAGTCTCTGTTAAAGAAAAATCATTTCATGTAGATTATTGAAATTTTCACTGCTGAGAAAAGGGATTATTCTCAGTGCTTTCCCTCAGGGGAGGGAGTGAGAACATTGGAGATCTGTATGTGGATTTCACTAGAGCCTGCCTATATCTTTTTCTCTTGCTGATTTTGATATGTACCATATCAAAATTGAGTGGCACCATAATAATTCTGTGCCATGAGGACTACTATATATGGTCTCCCTCTAATGAATCACCAGACTGTGTATGGTCTTGAGGATTCCCAAATATGCACTTTAGCCAGCTCTCAGACTCCTGAGAGCTGGCGGAGTGTGCCTTTCACTGAGGCAGTTTGATTCAGGGCTCTGGATGTGTGCAGAGGAGGTCGAAATGCAGGGAGGATCCTGACTGAACCTCTAGGTGAGTTTGAGCCTTTGTCCAGCCTCAGGCAGGTTTCTTCCAGGTGGCTGACCTGATCCTTCAGGAAGGCTTCTCCACAAGGACAGGACAATGATGGAATTATGCCTCATGGTCACAGTATAAACCACCTCCATTCTAATCAACTGTGTTAAACTTCATCAACTACATAATACATCCTAAGAAAGACCCTACTTTAAAGGACACAGAAACAACAATAGAAGCACTATACTTTTTTAAGTACCATTTTAGCTACATCCCTATAATTTAAAAATATATATTATTTTTTGGTCACTGGTTAGTTCTAAATGTCTTACAATTTTCATTATAGCTTCTTCTGTGATCCAAGACTTCTTTAGGAAAAGGATTAATTTACAAACATTTTGGGTTTTTCTAATTATCCCATTTTATATTGGAGGATATTTATTTTGTAATGTTAAACATGTATTTGCCGAAGACCCAGTATTTCCAGCCCTTGTTGTCTACTCAAGAAAAATGGAAGCATAGTTCACATGCAAAGACTTGTATGTGGAATAATTCAAAGAAGCTCAAACTGGAAACCATCAAACTCCCTATTAACTAGTGATGGGCAAGCAAAATGTGGTCATCTGTACCATGGGATACTATTCAGCAATGAAAAGAATAAAGTACCGATACATATATGGGAGAATCTCAAAATCATTATGCTAAGTGAAAGAAGTTAGGCACATGTGACTGCCTGTTACATGATTCCATTTATAAGAAATATCCAAAAAAGACAAACTATTGACAAAAAGATTATTGTTTCTGAAGGGCTGGAGGTGGAGTAGGGATTGCTTTCAAATATAAACGAGGAAATTTTTTTGAAGTAGTAGGAAGTATTCCAAGTAGGTTATAGTGATATTTGCATAATTCTATAAATGTACTAGTTACTTGAAGTGTACATTTAAGATGAGTGAACTAACTGATACGTTTTTGGCCACATAAATCTGCCAGTCATCATGGCAGAGGTTCAACATGGTGAAGGGACCATAAAAAGTCTTATCAGTCCTCTTTCTCCAGTGCTCCACACCCAAAATAGACTTCCTGTCTTGTGCCAGAGTCACTCTGATCCCTGGATAGAACATCATTCCTGCTTTATCGTCACCAGCTGGCTTAGCACCACCCCAATGAGAGTTAATACAAGCAGGCCCCAGCCCTTTGTCTAGAGAGAGAACCTCTGCATTTCTCCCCAGCGCCAGGCATGCCCCCTCATTAAAGGCCTCTTCATACTTTGTCTCTTTCTTATCTCTCCTGTGCTGCTTCAGATTGAGTGCCAAGAATACTTAATCACTAATGATATATAAATTAAACATCAACAAAGCTGGTGAATATTTAAAAGTATGTTTAGATAGCCTTGGTCTTATTTACTCGGGCATTTAGCCCATTTATTCTTTTTGTAACTACAAATATACTTGAATTTCTACCAATCTTTATGATGTTTTCTTTTTCTTTCTTTCTTTTCTTTTCTTTTTTTTTCTGGTACCAAACTCAGGGCCTTGTGCTTGCCAGGCAGGTGCTGTTCCACTGAGCTATATCCCGGGTACTTATGGTGTTTTCCGTATGTGATATCTTTTTAATATTTTTTCCTTTCTCCTTTTTTCCCTATGTATTATTTTTTCCAGTTCTATTTCCTCCTCCTGTTTCCTGGAATTTATAAAAGCTTCTGTACTTTTCAAATTTACCCTAGAAATTTTAACATGCTTTCTTTGAGATCCATACCTTGAGTTAGGGGCTTTGCTCTTTTCTTGAACACCACCAGGAATTTAGAACACACTGATTGATACTTTTGCACTTTAAAACTCCAGATGACGTTTTTATTACTTTATGTAGTTATAGAAATCATTCACATATTTACCTATCCCTCCTTTTCATCCTTTATTGCATCTCTGACTTTTCACTGGCAACATTTTTCTCAAAAATGCTTTTTCACAAAAAGATAAAATAGTGTGAAGCTTAAGACCATGGATTCTAGAGCCAAACTACTTTTATCTTCAGACTGCGTTTTCTTTTTGTTCAACAAATACAGAAAGTTAAGCCATATGAAGGAGGTAGCAGAAATGTGACTTGAACCCAGTGATCCCCTAGAAGCACCCTTGTACAGTGGAGTGCTGGGGAACGAGCCCTCATCTAACAGCTCTGTCATGCACATCAGACCAGAGCCTTGTTCCACTGTCAGCCCGCAGCATGCAGGCTCGTCTTCCTCTGGAGCTCATAAATAATTCTGAGAAGATGTCTCTTCTAGCAAATTGCAGTTGACTTTGACTTTACACTTTGGAATGTTTGTAAAAATATTTTTCTGTTTATTAATTATTATTTTTAAAGTAATTTGAATAGTCCCACAAAAATTCTTGGAAAAAATATATATAACTATTCTGGACTCTTTCTTCATTTATTCCTGAGCAGACCAAGCAGCAGGCTCTTGCTTTATAAAGCAAATTATTGAATCTGCCCAGAAGCAAAGTGGATCGGATGCTCGTGAGCCTGGGCAGAGACTGTGTAATAGAGTGATTACACACTAGATGATATTGAAATCTCCTCTGATCCGTTTAAAAGTGTGGTCAACGCACTACAGTCTTCTAAATCTTCTAGCTTTTCCACTGTCTTTATAAGACTTTCCAGTTTGTTGGGGGGCAGCACCCTGGTGGCATTAGCCCTGAACTTTTTCTTTAGGTCCTCCTGGTTCAGTGGATTCCTCCAGTGACCGTAAAAGGTACTGCAGTGCTCAGTGAATGTAGCTCCATTCTTGAGGGTGACACTGACATCGCAGTACAGTGTGTCGAAGTTTGGGAGGTTGTCAGAAGGATGCTCTAGCTTCACCTTCTTGAGCAACTCTGTCACCTGTGGCCTACTGACCTGGTCTTTGTGGAATGACTGGACAGTGATATCTCCATCAAGCAGCACAGTGCAGGCCACATACTGGAAGGAATGGCGGGCTTCATGCTCTGAGTCTGGGAAGGGTCTGTTTACATACTGGACCTCTGGAACCCTGAGCACAATTTTCCCAATGTGGTCAGCAGGAAGCAGGGTTCCATCTGAAAGCACAAGATGCTGTCTTACTGATGCAGCTGCCTCTGCCACCCAGTGGGTAGCCAGATGTGCAGGGAAACGCTTGAAGGCTACATCCTGCTCGTCCAGCAGCCAACTGTGGGAATCCAGACTTGGAAGGACTTTTGGGGAATAGTTGGTGTAAAAGGCCCCAAATCCCGTTGCCAGGTCCAGGATGCGCTTGTTTCCTTGGAGTCCTAGCATTGCCAGAAAAGCAGCTTCTGTTCCATGCCTGGCAGCATTGCCAATATGAAGGGGCTTGGTCTGAGTAGCAGCATTTGCCATGGGTGCCCCAGAAAAAGAAGCAGCAATGGCCAGGGCTTGTTGGCACTCTGCCAAGCTGAGCCCTAATAACTTGGATGCAGCAGCAGCACTACCCAAAGTTCCTACCACCGAGGGAGGATGGAACCTGAAAAGCAAAACAGAATTGGAGATTTACAAACTATAGCCACCAGGAGGTAGTATTGGATAGTAATAATAACCGTGTCACACAGCTTGCATTCAAATTTCAGCTTTCACCTATTAGCTGTGTGATTTTGAGAAACTTACTCCACTTCTCTGCTTTTGTTTTCTCTTACATAAAGTGGTACTAACAGTACGCACTCACAGAGTTTGGGAGCTTTGAATGAACTCACATATTACAGCAATGGCTAATATACAGCAAATTCTTTATAAATGATATAGTTATTGTCAGGCAAAATTTTCTGATTCCTGATACAAACTGTGAAAGTACATACTCTACATTTTTTTTTCTAGCAGGCTGGACCAAGTGGCAGAGAAAATATTAGATCAAACCATGTGATTTAGCCAACATCTGGCCAGTTTTGAACAGTGGGATTTATAGCCAGAGTTAGGATATTCTGAATGTCCTTATTAATCTGAAGGATCTAAGTGAACAACAGAGCAGATTCTTCTCTGAGGATGGGATTAAGAATACTCAGAATACTTATAGAAGTTAAAATGACATGAGTCACCTTGGGATAACAGACTCCAATTATTTCATAGTCCTAGCTGCTTGATTTGAGCTCTAAACTCAAAGGACATTTTAATTAGCACTTACGAAGTCACACTTTTGTATATGACTTTGGGTTTGGTATGTGACTGGAACCAACTAATCTCCCAGCCTCTAAACCAGAAACCTCTAGGTAGATAGCCAGATGAAGAGGAATGTGGCTGCTTCTCCTCTGGGAAAATTCTCTCCATACCTCTTTGGGATGTCACTGGCTTCCTTGGAGAAGTGCATTAATCGGCCTTGTACTTCGATGCCAACATTGAAAGCCAGCAGCAGGTCAAGGCCAGAAAATTTTGCGCTCTGAGGTAGGGCTTCTGATAAAGCTGTGAGGGCAGGAAGGATAGCCCCAGAAGGGTGGGTTGCAGGGTGCCACGTGTCATCAAAATCCATTGAGTGAATCTGCATAAAAAAATACAAACTAAGAAATCCAGCTTTTTCAAGAATGTGTTGACTTTTGGGCCAGTAAGGATTTATAGTAATAATCTGGTTTGTCATAAGATTTTTTGACCTGATTTTCTGAAATTAAAACCTAAGAAGAAGCTGTGATTCTTTTACTTTTCTTGCTTTGTTTTGTTTAAGACAAAGTATGCAGTTCAGGTTGGCCTTGAGCTCAAGTTGTAACCCATGCTGGTCTTGAACTCATAGTGATCCTCCTGCTTCAGCAGAGTGCTTGGGACTCTGCCATCATTCCCAGCTTGAAGCTGTGATCATTTTTATTTAAACAAAACAAAACAAAACAAAACAATATGATAAAAACAACACAGAATTTCAAAAAATAGGAAATTAACACTAGTTACTATATTGTATATTGTTATCTTGAAGGTAGTTGTTCAGATTACCAGATTTATAAAAAATGCATAAAAAAGCATAAAAAATGACCAAGACAATCAGATAATGAAAACACAACTTGCTTTTTTTGATGAACTAACAGAGATTGGTAGTATAATTTTCTATCATATATGTATTTACGTATATATATATATATATATGTGTATATAATATAATCTTTTACCTTTTTTGTTTTCTCCTTTCTCCTATCCAGTTGTTCTTTCCTTTTGAACACTTTCTTTCCCTTTTATTTTCACAATATCTATTGTAAAATTTAGGATCTTATTTACTTTTTAAAATTTATACTAGGGAGACAAAACAATATATGTGAGTCTGATTTATTTATGAGTATGGTCTCAAGTTGTTTCATTTACCAATAAAAACCTTGTTTATCCTTCTTTATAGCTGAGAAGTACTCCATTGTATAAAAAATCACACCTTTTTTATCCATTCCATGATTTATGGGCAATTGGGTTGTTTCCAAGATTTAGCTATTACAAATCGTGCTGCTGTAAACCTGGATGCACATACGTCCCTGTGGTATGATGTTTTCAATTCTTCTGGGAAGATACCCAGAATAGTAATAACTGGATTGAATAGGACCTCCAATTCTACTTTTTTGAGGAAGCTCTGTACTGATTTCCATAGTGGTTGTACCAGTCTACACTCCCACCAACAGTGGAAAAGCATTCCTTTCCTCCCCACAAGCCTACCAATACTTGTTATTGGTTAATTTCTTGATAGTAGCCATTCTTTCTGGAGGGAGATGGAATCTCAGTGTTGTTTTAATTTGCATTTCTCAAATGACCAGTGATGTTGAGCATTTCTTCATATATTTATTTGTCATTTGTATTTCTTCATCTGAGAAGTGTGTGTTCATCTCAGATGCTCATTTTTGTCTTTGAATTTGGGGGACCTGATGTTTTTCAATTCTTTATATGTTGTAAATATAAGTCCTTTATCTGAGGGACAAGTTGGCTAAAGTTTTTGCCCATTCTGTGAGTTTTATTTCCACTCTATTAGTGATTTCTTTTGATGTGCAAAAACTTTTTAATAAGATGAGATCCCAGTTGTTGATTGTTTGAAGTACTTCCCATGTGGTTTGCATTTGTTCATGAACTCTTTGCGCTTCCCTATGTAAGAAGCTGTGATTCTTAATCCATGGATGACACTGGGATTCACTACTCTTTTGCTTCCAGGCAGGCAGAACCTTGAACAGCAGCTGGTGACCCCACTTTCCCTGGCCCCCCGCAAAGGTCTTAGGTCTTGAATGAGCAGCTAGAAACCTTTGAAAAATCCATATTACCCCTTAAGCACAAAAACCATGGTTTCTTTTCTCCTTAATTCTTTAAACACATCACATTAAACACTTAGTGATTTATTCTACATAAATCTTATATTTTATATCTATCACAAAATAATTTTAAATTTCTACAGAATTTGCAAGAACAGCATAAAAACTCTCAAACCTAGATTTCTTATTAATTATATCTTAAGGTCACTATTTGCTGCTGTAAGGTTTTATTCCTCTTCATTCCAGTCATTTTTTTCATTCAAGAAATGGTCATAGCTGTAAATTCTTTTAAAAACAGAATTTCTGTCTGTTTGTTGTGACTGCTGGGTTTCCTAACTGCTTGCTAAATGCAAATTGCATTTGACTTCAACAGTCTGAGATACTTTCCTCATAAACTGTAAGAGAATATCAGACATCACAAGTGTAGGTCCAGATCTTTTAGATTTAGACTTCTCCTCATGCACAGAAAAAAATAAAGAAATAAAAGCCATCTGTCAGAAGTGGTCAGAAGTGTGTCAGAAGACACACACATCATGTGGCCATTATTTCTTTGCCAATAAAGAGCTAATGAAGAAACAGAATATTACTAGAATATTATGGAATATTACTGGACAGAAATTTGTACACTCAACAGAAGAAAGTGAGAATGAATTGTATCTGGATATTAGATTTTATATTTTTTGCTTATGCATCCAGAATTTACAGTTGGGAAATCTTGGGGAATGCTTTCATCTAAATCTTTTCACATCATCTATTTCACATTTTGTTTGAAAACACAAATTTATTATAAAAACAGGAAAGTAATAAAAACTGAAATTATTACAGTAAGAGAGGATAGGCTACACCATTTCTGAGCTTTAATGATCTTATCTATAAAACAAGGAAGTTATGCAATCCTAAGGTAGTTTCTGGCTTTGGAATTACTATGACAATCTACGAGTTGAAAAGACATGTAAACTTACAGCCACACCATTAACAAATGCAGCATACGATGGTGGGAGTTTGAAGTCTTGCTGACCCCAAACCGTGCTGGATGTATTGGAATTGTAGATCTGGAACAGAAGAATATACATCAGTGATGCTGAATCAACATAATACACACAGTGTGCATTTCAAGAGTGTTTCTTTACCTTTGAAGACATGATGTTAATGGTCCTTATTTGAACCCTTAGAAACCTTAATCATTAAAATTCTTCCTTGTAGAAGAATACACAACCTTATTCATGGTAGGAGGGGAAGATGGTATTGCTCAATCCATAAGTGCCCCAGGTAAGTGAACTTGAATTCACTTTTATTTCCTTGGCATAAATACAGGACAGAAGAGGACGTGCTGTCTAACCCAGCTAAAGTCTATGGAAAGTGGGTGCCATATTTTTCATGTCATTCCCCCTTTCTGCTCTGGATACTCCACTAGCTTTTTATTCAGAAAATATTTTCTTTTCTGTTTTTATTTTATTTTGTGGTACTGAGATTAAACTCAGGGCTTCATACTAAACTCCCTTTTTAAAAACAAAACAAAACAAAACAAAACAAAACAAAACAAAACTTTGAGACAGGTCTTACTAAGTTGCTAAGTTGCCTAGGTTGGCTTTTAATTCTCCTGCTTTAGCCTCACAGAGTGCTAGGATTATAGGTCTGTACCCCATGCCTAATTTCAGAGAATCTTTGAAGACTTTGCATTAACAAATGGTCTGTGGTAGGTGATTTTACTTTCAAGACTTGGGTTGCAATGTGCTTTCCGTCAATCTGATAATAGGCTGTGACATTTTATTAGTGAGTGATTTTGATATACTGACAGTAAAAATATGGATGAATTTTTAAAATCAGATAATGAAGCTGAGATAATTTGTACAGGGCTGTACAAATCAGTCACATGTAACTGAGTCATATAACTGAGTATAGAACCAAGGCACATAGCTCCAGGTCTAGCCCAAAGTAGTCATCTGTATACATTTGCTCTTAGCTTTGGAATAAATATTGAATTACTTACTTTACTATATTGGCTGACTTTGTGAAACACTTCTGTGCTAGTTCCAAGGAATCCAACACCCAGAGTATCCAAAATCATCCTCTTGCTCCTCTGAATGACGCGATCTGTTAAGTGTCCTACTTTCAAGCCATGGATGATGTTGGCAAAGCTTTCTGTGACAGACTTCAAAAGGAAAAGGTTAGAATGATGTCATTTTCCACTTTGTCTTTGCATGCTTCTTTTCTAGAAGAGAATTCAAGGGAGTTTTTTCTTAGAGGAAATCTAGTTGATAAAATTTAGTCATATTTTCAAAGAGTGATGTGGACTGAGCACAAGTTTATGAGTCTCAGGGATGTAGAAATGCATAATAGCAAGGTTCTGTCCTTGGTTGAGGTGAGGACACAGGTAAGACAGCAGATGATGACAACGGAGTGTGATGGGCCATCTAGAGAGAAGCACAGAAAGCCAGAGGGTGAGGAAGGAGGGGTATCTCACCTGGGAAATGGAGGTGGCTTGAGATGGAACTCTAGAGACACTAAGAGTTGCCATTCTTTGATATACACCATTCCATACCCACAGGTCTCTAAGGTGGAGACTGTGAATCTCACTTTGCAGGTGAGCAGTCCAAGACCTAGAGAGCTAACACTGCTAATTTTCATAGCTCTTAAATGGTGGAATCTGGGCACAAATGCCTATAGGTTTAACTCCAAAATTAGAACACTTCACTATCAACCCACATTTTCTAAGGTGCAGTTGGTGGAGAATGAGCATCAGAACAATCTGGGATTCCTTTTGAAAATGACCTCACTCTACACCACCAGAATAAGACTACCTTTAGAAGTTGAATGGTGGGAAGCTGGCACAGGCTTTTCACTCAGATTCTTAGGTGATTTTTTTTTCAGTGCTGGAGATGGAACAAAGGGCTTTGTGCATGCAGGCAAGAGCTCCACCACTGAGCTACACATCCAGCCTCAGGGTAACTCTTAAGTGCTCTGGTGTTATGTTTAGTATGGTATAACATGGCAATGTGGCTATTGGATGGCTAAAATGTAGTCACTACAAACTGAGATGTGTCACAGGAGTAAAACAAACTGCTGTGAAGTTTGAAGACTTAGTGGGGAAAAAATCTAAAGCATCTCAATATTTTAAAAATATAGTTCACATGATGAATCAATATTAATATATTGATAAATCAATATTTAGGACAGTTGGCTAAATAAAATATTAATCACTTTCTTCTTACTTTTTAAAATACGTTTACTGGAAAGTTTGAACTTGCATAATTGCAAGTTGTTTCTCTTCCTTGTTGCTGGGGATTTTCCAGAAACTTGGATAGCTAATCTGGTTGTGAACATGAAGGAGTAAGCCAGGTGAGGGCGAAAGGAAGAGGGTGGAAGCTAAAGGTAGAAGCAGCAGCACGGGCCAAGGCTTGGAGGGGTGTAGGTATGGCATAATCTTGAACACCAGAGCTGCAAGCAGTGGGCAGGGGTAAGAAAAATACATTTGCAGCTTACAACTGAATGATGACTGTTGCTATATTATGCTAGAAACAGTGATGTCAGTGAGCAGCCTGGGGAACCACAGTGTTGCCACAAGATAGGTAGAGATGTGATCAGAACTGTGTTTGAAAGATCTCCTTAGCAAGTGTTGAAAGAATGTGTTTGAGTGGGGTCGACAAGAGCAGTTAAGAGACTGCTGTGGTAGCACATGACCTGGATGGGGACAAGGAAGTGTCATTTGTTAAGAGAGGGGACATAGGAGGAGGAAGAGGGATCACTGTGGACGTGAGTGTAAAGTGCACTGTGATCATCCTGGAGGGAAAAGCCATTGGCTTCTACCCATAAATCAGATACTGTAGAATAGGATGATTTGAATTTCGTAAGTAACAGGTCTTTCAATAGCATACACACTATTTTGTTTTCTGCGTGTATAGTTAAAAATGTTTTACTTTTTCTTTCTTTATTAAAATATCAAGTTTATTTCATATACATATTTTAATTTCCATCATCTATATGTCTGATTGCCAGTCCTACTACATCCTATTGTAGCATCTCATACTTAAAACAAAGAGTTTAAAAACTGAACAGTTTACATTATTGAAAAATACATTATTGGCAAACCTGGACAACACTTATCAAACACTTTGCATTATAAAAAGGACTGTCAGATATCAAATGCTACAGAAAAGAAATAAGATGGAAAACTGTAACAAACTAAACTGTTTTCTTACAAAGATTTTCTGTACTGTTAAAGATTTTAAATGGCCTACTGGTCCATCATCTGCAAGGAATTTTTCACATAACTGATTATCTTTGTCACATTCTTGTTGCTGAGACACAATACCCAACAGAAACTCACAACCTAAAGGAGGAGAGACTTGTTTTGGCTCACAGTTTTAGTCCATAGGAGCTGGCTCCAAGAAGGCATAGTGGAAGGGTCTGGCAGAGGACAGCTGCTCACCTTATGGGGGCCAGAAAGCAGAGCTGCAATGGAGGAGCTTGGGGAAGGTGATGCACCTTTCTAGGCCATGCCTGAAACAACCTTCCTCTCTCGATCCAGTCCCACCTCCTAACAGTACATTTAGCTATAAATTCACCAGTGAACTAATCCACCAGTGAGTACAGTGCCCCATGATCCAGTCATCTCCCCAAAGCCCCACTTGTGGGTACATGAGGCTTTGGGGGGAACATTTAGGGATAAACCATAACATTCCATCTCTGGCCCCCAAAAGGCTCATATATATCACTTTATGCAAAATGTATTTGGTCCACCTCTAAGAGTTGCCAAAGTTCTAACGGTTTCTACATTGCTGAAAAGTCCTAGTCCAAAGTCTCCTCTGAACTTAAAGCAAACTCTTAGCTATGAAAAAACAAAAAAGAAAGTTATACATTGCTGACATACAATGGCACAGTGACACATTCACATTTTGAAAGGCAGAAATATGGGGACAGAAACAATTGGGACCAAAGCAAGACAGAAACTTAGCAGGGCAAACATTAAATCCTGTAATTCTGAGTCCAACACCCTGGACAAGTGGTGAGATGTGAACTCCAAGGGGCTTGGACAAGCTCATCTATACTGCATGGCCAGGGCTTGTAGCTTTCATGGCTTCTCTCTTGGGCTGGCTTTGCTCACTCCTTGCAGCTTTCCTCAGTAATGTTCCACTTTCCTGGCTTTTCCCACTACACTTTCAGTTCAGTCTCACAGATTCATGCACTGCTCTCCTGGGGACTGCCCAGATTCCTAGTCTTTCTTTTGAAATCTGGGTAGAAGCCTCCATTACACCCAGGACTCTTGCATTCTGCATGCCTATAAAATCAGCACCATGTGATAATGGCAAGGTCTGTTACCAGCTGGAACAGTAGCTGGGCTCCCTTGAATCACAATTGCAGAGGCCTCTGAGTGCCTAGATGACAGTACTGTGAATGAACTCCCAGCAAGTTAATTTTCTTCTATTCTTCCTATGTCTTCAAAGCATCTTTATATTGTTCTAATGTAAAATATGCTAATTTTATACAACCAAGCTCTCCTCTCTCCAGCTTTATAGGCACTTCTTTTTTGTTGAAACTCAAAATTTAAAATCAGAAAGCTGTATCATTTGGTCTTGATTCTCAATATAGAACTGGCTATATACTCCCAACAATACCAATACTCAGCTTGAATGTTTGGTTGCCTTGAAATTTCCTCTACCAGATTAATTAATTTGCAACCTTTAATCTCAGTCTTTTGCAAAGTCTGAGGTCATAAGCAAAATGTAGACAAATTTTTGCCAGAGCATAGCATACCTTGCCTGGAGTCTAACTGCCAGTGGAGTTCTTGTTTCCCAGTTGAAACTTGCTGAGCCTGGTCTGTACTATTTGCTTTTTACATGAGCATTCTTGTTAACTGAACTGCAGAATCTCCCATCAGGCTTGGCTTACAGCATCTAATGCTCCCTTTCCAGTTGAAATTTCCAAACCCTTCTGAATTCCTCCTCATAACAACTTTTAAAGACTTATGAACTACATGGTTAAATAGTACAATAGCAATGATCCTACTTCTCTGGTACCAAAATCTATAGTCACTTTTTTGCCACTAAGACACAATACTCAACAGATACCCACAATTTAAAGGAGAAAGGTTTACTTTGACTACAGTTTTAGTCAACAGTTGGCTGGCTTTAAGGCAGGAAGTCATGGTGGAAGGGTCTGGCAGAGGAAAGCTGTGAATTTCTTGGTCACCAGGAAGCAGAACTCCAAGGGAGGAGCTGGAGAAGGAGATATACCCTTTTAGACTACAGCCGGAGTGACCTTCCTCTTCAGCTCCAGCTCTACCTCCTAAAAGTGCATTTAGCTACACACTCATCAGTGGACTAATCCACCAATGAGCATAATGCCCCATGATCCAACCACCTCACCAAAGCCCCACCTGTGATTGCATGAGGCTTTCAGGAGACATCTAGATATAAACCATAGCATGGATACACTTGGTTTCTGTTTTTTATTTTTATTTTTTTGTTATTGTTGCTGTTTGTATGTATGTATGTATGTATGTGTGTGTGTGTGTGTTTTGCTTTAATATTCCTACAGAATGAGACCTTTTTTTGGGGGGGGTACCAGGGATCACACAGGAGACCATTTTGTTTTAGGTGTTTTCATCTTGTTGTTTTTGCAGAATTCTTGACCTTTTGGATTTGGTTTCGGCTTGGAAGATCTGGAATCTTTTCATTCTGCCTTTTTTTTCTAAACTAGAGTTTTTCTTCATTTTCCTTATCATCATTGTTGTCATCATTGCTGTCACTGTCGTCTTTATCAGCATCAAGCTTTACTTTTTTCTGTGGAAACTTGCTACTGCTTCCAGGGGAAGAATGCTTCCCCAGACATACGTAAGAGTTTTCCAGCCTCTTTTCCTTCTGATTCAGCATCTTTGTCCACTGCTACTAAATACTGTCCAATGATATGCACAGGCCCTGAATCAGACTTCAACCTAAGGGTCATGGGAAGGGGGATTTTTTTCATTGTCCCTAAGGAAACACTGACTGCATGTTCAACATTGTCAGCATTACAGTAAGGCAATTGCCTTCATAATTCATTGCATCTGCTCTGACAGTGTGTAATTTATCTTTTGCACTGGCCCCTAAACTGACCATTCTTAAACATAACTGGTGCTCCTTTGCATCATTAATATATGTAAAAGAAAGTATGTTTGTCACTCTTAGGTCACAAGTGAAAAGATGAAGTTCTGGTACCTCCGCTGACCCTGTGTCCATCAAATCTTCCATGGGAAGATGGACTGTACATAGGTGGGACAGAACTTAGACAGAGATAAATAATTACTGCTGAAGAAAATAGACTTGTGGTAGAGTGATGCAAGGGCAAAACCATGTAATTTGAAGGGGCGTTTCATTCTATATATGCCTAGCATTTAGTACCTTTGGGTAAAATATTGGGTAACTTCCTTTGTCTCTGACAGCATGAGAACACTCACTTGTTAACTGTAGGGTACGGAGTTGCTGCATTAGAGGATATCTCAGGCTGATCTCCGTGTCAGGGGAGGAAAGAGATGGAACCAGGATCCTGCCAAAGGTCCTTTACCATGGCCCCCACTCTTGGAATATTTAGATCTATCAAGTCGAGGAATGCTCACCGTTTACAAAAGGGTGACTAACTTCCTATGCTTCTGAAATTTTGGTAGAAAGTGAGGGGAGCTTGAGATGGGAGAAAGCAGGAGAGAAAACAGCTGGGAGATAGGATGCTGGCAGGAGCATTTTTTGTTGGGGTGAACAATAACAATAATTCTGACTTTCATGTTTCTAAATATTTGGAAAAACATCAGAGAGAAGAGAGAAAGAGAAGGAGGGAAGGGGGGCTTCAGGATTTGCCAAGTAAAATTTAAGGCTTCAAGATCTAGTTGGATCCTTGTTTCTACGACAATGTCCTTTTTACCCGTCTTCCCACTCCAATCACTTCCATGGTTGAAGATACTTAGTGGCTGATGAGTCATCCGCTCAAAGTTAGATCTGAAAGGATAGTGACTTGTGGGGACTGAGATATGCCTAGGGAACAGGTAGGGGATGTCAGCGTGGAGCCCAGGCAGTCACTGGGGCATCCATCTACACAAGGTTGTACTGCTGGTGATCTATGATGGGGTGGGGGAGATGGGGTTCCCTGAGTGGTCCTGAATGCCATCCCTTCACTTGATTCTAAGAATATATGAGCCCTAAACCTGTGACCCTGAAAGGAAGGGAGCTGGAAGGAAACAAGTATACAGCTGCCAGCTGTCTGAATCTTACACTTCTCTACATTTAAGAGGTCTTCACAGTTTGCTTGGCTTTCTCATCACATTTGCATCCCCTTTTAGTAAAATACTGTAATTGAAATAATGTATAAATGGAGACAATATGCCACCATTTAATAAGTGAACTTTACAAATTCTTGTGAACTTATTGTGCTAAGATCTCTAGAATGCCAAACGAATACATGCTGCGTTCTGCCTCAGAAACCTTATCAGGGGATAAGAGAAGATGGTGACAGCAAATAAATAATTAGAAATGAAATCCAGCAGTGCCACAAAGGACAAGTACAAAGCTTAATTTACTTACAATGATTCATTTTCTTCCTAATACGATACAATAGAATCATGTCTCCGATTTGTAAAATGCAGATGAGAATGAAGATGGATTTAATTAGGCATCTCAGAGGCTATCAGAAAAGTTAAAATGCCAGTTTTGAAACACAGCAAGCAGTTCTTAAAAGGAGAAGGCAACTGAAAAGATTGGAAAAGGAAGATTTAAGCGAGAAAAGAAGCTTTAGCTATTTAAAATGTCACAATACCTTGAGCATCACGTTGTTCTAAAGAAGAGTTTGGCTCAGGAGTGAATTGCAGGAGTGATTTGCCAGTGGGCTACTGCCTTTATATACTTTCTTTTTCCTAGGCTCTTTCTCTTTCACTTTGTTCTAGGTCAGGAATTTCCTACAATTTCAATGCCTCTGAGCTAACCTCACTTCAGCTTCCCCTGAAGTCAGTTTTGCAATCACCAGTAGATGAACAATTAAACTAGGCAAGGAAGTGTAGTAGTCATGGTCATATGAACTGTTCACGGGTGTCAGAGAGGCAAATTCATGATAAACTTAGAATTGCTTCTGATGTTTGGATGCCATGTGTTACTATTATAAAAATATTCACACTCTTCAAGTATTCCACTTCTAAAAATTATTCTAAGGTGATAAACCTGGATGTATGGAAATTTTTTTTTAAATTTCACATACCCCGAACAAACTGGAACTTTATTCCTGAGCTGTCTTTTGCATCATTGTGTAAATCTGGTTCATGGTCCTCTGCCTTGCGTTTGGACCATACTACCTGCCTTAACCTCTCTATACTACTGCCTGAGTCTTCGTTAACATAACATGTTCAGGATTCTTTGCTTAGAATCACCTGTGATAGCCTGGCTTGCCTGGGCTTAACTCTGCTACTTGGGGAACTGCCACTTGCCTTGGGCTGTCCAGTTAGACCAACTGATTTGAACCTTTAGTGGGTATAACAATCAAGTTATTTAGAATTGGAAACTGTCATTCTAGATGTAGTGCAGAATTTATCTTTTGGGAAGATTGCCATTCAAATCTGGAGGAAATTTACATGAATCACATCAAACAAGGAAAAGCTATGGAACAAAGAATTGCTAAATGGCTTCTGCATAAAAATGTACAGGGAGCATCTCTGGGAGATGATGGTGAGTAGCTTTGCTTCTTTTGCAGAAAGCCTGTGGGGAACTACTGGGACTCTGGACATAAGGTCAAGGTCAAGGTCAATGGATTGGTATGGTTAGGAGCTACAGAGGGATGTGGCCAGCAGGAAACCCCACATGGAAGGACTTGCAAAGATGGATTCAAGGAACAATGAGATTAAATTTCTAACTTGAAATTTTTCTTTTCAAGATAAGAATTCTCTACTATTCATCAGGCTTTGTAAAATGAAGACAAAAGCAGTTACTTTGCATGGAATAAAAAGAGGTAGAGAGAGAAGCTAAGGGTGTGAGATATAAAGAGAAGTGACGGGCAGCAAGGAATATAAGTACTCTGTGTATTCTGAATGGCTAATAAGAAATCAAACGGAACTGTGCTTGTGATTGTACCTACTTAGATGATATGGGGAAGAAGCCTGAGAGTGGTGAAGATAGTGAATTCCATTTATAAGCTCACTGCTGCTTGAAGCTGGGGTTCCCAACCACAATGTAGACTGGGAAAACTCAGATCTAGGCTTCACATAGCACAAACAGAATGTGGTAGGTCTGAAATGATCATCTCAGACAACTGTGATAAGCTGACTTCAAAGCCACCTTCCAGGGGAAGGGTGGACTCTTACATCCAAAGAACAGATGGATATTTGGGATGGGCTCGGGCAATACAGGCATGTTGGAACCACTGAGTAAGAACAATCACATTCTCAGATTCTATGATTTATTGCTGGATGGTCCTACATAAATTGGTGTTTAAAGTAATATTATCAAGTTGAAAGGAAACATTGACATCTGGTTTGACAAACAGACAAACTCTTAGTTTTGTAGTTGGAATTCTCAGTTTAGACTTCAAGGTTCATGTGTACTACACTTATCAGCAAACATAATGATAATAAAAAATTCCCCAAATACTCTGAGAGTTATTATTGTTACTACTCTCAGTTTGAATAACAGTCTCCAGACTTGGAGAGGTTAAAAATATTCAAGTTGAGAGTGAGGTATGGAAATGAGACTTGAAAATGAAGAAAAGATTATGATGACCTTAGTTGTCTTACTGTGGAACGATCCATAAAGGATCATGACCTTTATCAAGTCTATTGAACTCCAGTGGATGTTATGTTACTGATCCATTCTGGGCCTTGGGTTTTGCTCTTATTCTGTTCCAAGGAATAAACTACTTGCTAGTTCATTTACTGAGTACTTTTTATCGAACCGTGAACAACTAAAAATTAAATTACCCTGTAGTTAAAGTCATTTTATAATTGCCCAGGAACTTAAATGATAAACTGCATATTGATGGCAATTGTTTATTCAAAAACAATTGATAACACAGATAAAACTGAAGAGGGAATTTAATAAATGGAAGGACATCCTGTTAATGGATTAGAAGAAACAATATTGTTAAAATGTCTATACTACTCAAAGCAATCTGCAAATTCAATTCAATCCTGATCAAAATACCAACAGCATTCTTCATAGAACTAAAATAATAATGTTAAAATTTGGCACAAAAACAAAACAGAACAAAACCCTGACTAGCCATAGCCATCTTGAGAAAAAAAAAAAACACTCTATACATGAAAACAAAGCAGCAAACATTGCTAATTTGAAAATTTATATTACAAAGCTATAATAGTCAAAAAAGCATGGTATTTGTATATATTCACATACACTGATTGAATACACTACATAGCCTAGAAATAAACCCATGTATATAGAGTGAACTGACTTTTAACAAAGATTCTAAGATCATACACTGGAGAAAGGATAGTTTTTTTTTCAGTAAACAATGATGGAAAAATTGTATATCCACATGCAGAAGAAAGAAACTATAATTTTTCTTCTCACCAGATAATAAAGTCAAACAAAAATGGTATTCCCATCATGGTTAACTAAAGACAGCAGTACAAGAGTAAAGACAAGCGCTGGCAAATATAGGTACTTGGAAATGGAGGAAGTGAAGAAATCCAGAGACAGGAAGGAACCTGAAGGAGAAACTCACCAGATTGAATTTATGTTCAGGGGAGTTTGAAGGAATCTGGCCATTGCCATCTTGGGCTAAGCAGAGACAATTTTAAGTCACTTCTCCCTGCTATGCTTTTACACCTGTTGCAGAGTATCATCGTGGGTTTCTAAGGTCCAGTAAACACAGCTGTACCTTTGAATTCCCAACCATTGTTCAACCCTGCCCTTGACAAACAACATGCAACTCCATGTATGTCCTCCAGCCTGATCCCACACAGAGCTCCATAACTTCTTTGTATTGAATTCTCCCTCTAGAAAGTCCCATTGTGACTTCTTTTCTTCCACGGGTCCCCTTCCCTTTTTATGTTCATAGCCCTACAAAAACCTTAGAGCCTGTAGGAGAGTTAGCTTGTCTGACTTCTAGTGCCAGATCAGTCCCTCTCAGATTTGTTCTGAGATGCACTGTCCTGTTACACTTGTACCCCTGCTTTTCCTTTTTGTCCTAACAGAGTTTAAAAAGGGAATCTGGATCACGCCTGCATCACAAGCCCCCTTAACATCCCAAGTCTAGTGAACACACCATCTTGGGAGAAGACCTAATGCCCCCAGGGAAGGATGTTCCTTCTAGGCTGTTGTGTTAGACTCCTAAACTTTACTCCCTTAACATGGGAGAAGGAACTTGGCAAACAAGATATTTGTGGACCAGGGCATCAGGGAAATCCTAAATCCATGAGCAGAGATTGAGATAACCCTAGCAGGTGCTTCAACCTGAAATTGAGTGCTGAGAAAGCCATGGCCCACAGAGTTTTGAGAACAGCCAGACGCTGCTAACAAGGAGACCCTGAGGAGAAAAGTAGTTGGAGCAGCATCAAAAATAGGTTTTTGTTCATTGTTTTCCAAACACTGGGAGTGCTGTGCCCATGGGCTGTCCAGCCTGTTGCCTACCACCCAAATTTGGTGCACACAAAAGAACCCCACCCACACCCCTAGCCAAAAGCTGCTAAGCCCTAGGAGCCTAGGAGCCACAGAGCAGTGGCACCTAACAGAAGCTTTGCAGAGGAGTTCTTATCTGGAACCTTATAGAAAGAGAACACAGAAGCAGCTGCAAGGTTTATTGTGCAAGGCAGTGCGTAGAGATAGAGGAGGTTCTTACAAGAATCAGCGAAAGACTGAGTACCGGCCCAACCACACTGCATCCTTCCCCTCTGACTTAAGAGATGTCTGGTCATAAGACAAAGGGAAAAACCTTGCTCAGTAACAGCCACAGAAATTAAACTAAAATTAAGCAGAATGTAGCTTTCAGTTGGGGTCAGCAGTGCATCCAGATTCCTAAACTCCTTCTCTCTCAGGAGGCAACTGGACAATTCACAGGAAGGGCCTGATTCAGGGACTGGCAGGAGTGGGATGCGGGCTGCTAAGGTGAGGGGAAAAAGCACCTTGTAGACACAGTGATACTCCGTGGAGAGCAGAGGTGTCAGGAAAAGCTAGATCCAGAAATCTGTCCAGATTGTCCCCACTGAGAGTCAGAGCTTCTTCCTTTGTGAACACAGTGGGAAGAGCTCACTTGTTAGATTCAGACTGAGGTATAAATAGGACTATGAGGACCCTTTAATTTTGTGTTTTGTGTGACGTTTTTTGGTTCTTTCTTATTCCTTTGTCTTTCTTCTTTTCCTTTCCTCCTTATATCTAGCATATATATGAGCGGTGTCTCTATATGTGAAAAGGAGAGTAAGAATTAACCAGTACTTAAATCTCTAGTACCATTCACTGGCAAATCAGAATAACCTCATCAAAACGATGTTTTGGGAATCCAAATGCAAGCTAATTATCAACATATTAACAGGTCTTGCTTTCTCACAATTTCTCTCAATATTTCTTTCTCTACATTTCTCTACATTTTCTTTCCTCTATGACCCTTCTTCCTCTTCCACAAACATTCTCTCAGGCTTCCTGCCCACCACCCTTAAATTCCATTATAAAACTGTTATTAACCAAGAATTGGTTCTTTGAATGGATTAGCAAAATAGACACACCCTTGTCAAATTTTCCAGAAGAAAAGATTCATATTGATATAATTAGGAATGAAAAAATTATAAATCATAATGGATATTGTCAAAATCCAGAGGATTAAAAACATGTCTTCCAATATATTGGAGAAGCTAGAAGAAATAGATCAATTGCTAGATACATATGAATTTCCAAAACTGAACCAAGAAGATATAAAACCCTCAAAAGTCCCATTAAAGGCAATGACATTGAGTGAATAATAAAAACTCTAATAAAAGCCCA